AGGACTGGCAGCCTTGTGGTGTCTCTTGCTGTGGGGAGCGCTTGCCAACCTGGCCCCGAGAAGGAAGAGGCACCTACTTCTAGAGGGGGACGTTGTCAGGGGGCTTCTCGGGCTCTGAACCACCAGGTGAAACCTCCCGGTTTCACTTGCATTAGCTTGCCCTCTTTGTGGGGTTCAGGTGGGCTTTGGCAGTCCTGACATTGCCTCTGTTGTATGTAACTGGACAGGCAGGCGCTTTTCCCATGCTCTTCCACAGCTTAGCCTAAGCATGAGACCTCCTTTGTGCCTGGAAAACCTTGCCAAGCCCTGGTGTCACGCTCTCTCTTGCTCTCTCCCATTCCCACTTGCTGTCATATGTTTTGTGTTGTGGTTTTTTTGGTTGTTTTTTTTTAAGGAGTTAACACTACTTTTGATATTAACTAACTTCCAGTTGTTTAATGCTTGTTTTAATATTAACTTACAGTAGTTTAATAACAGTTGCAATAAACAGTTTTCAATTATCAAATCACTTAAAGATGAATTTTAAATCTACTCTACAATGTAGACTTCTTTTAACTGGTCTCCTGGATGTGCCTGTTCTCAAAACATATATGGTACTGATGTTTCTTAATGTACTCTAGAAATAATCCTGTTTTACTGGTAATGTAGCAACTAAACAGCATTTACTAGGGCAGAGGAAATGGCTTCTTGCAAGGTGCCTGCCACCAGGTAAGAACTGCTGTTGGAGTGGCACAGAACTTCGTGCCATCACTGCAGGTCCAGGCTTGCCATGACAGAAGCAAGTGGTGAGTTTTGACCTGCTCTATCTGCAGTGCAGCAACAAAGGTTAGAGGTAAGAAGAGGGAAAATGAATTCTAGAAAGGAGTCTGAAAATCACAGAAATGCTTACAGCCTGGAAATGGAGAGGAGGGCATGAACTGAGGGAAACAAGTCCTAGAATGAACTATCCAGGGAAGCTGTGTCTGAAATGACAGCAAGAGAACCTGACGCACGCATCCAAGAGTATGATATAGAAGAGAAAGGGAGGGGGGGAAAAAGCAAAATTGCTAAACCTAAAAGGACAGGACATGGCACAAAGAGAGAAATGGAAAAGAATAAAAACTGAAGCAAAAAGCTCAAGAAGCCCCTATAATTTCCTTTTTTATTTAAAAAATGTCCCTTAAAAAGGAGGGGGTGGGAAGGGACACTGATCTTTTGTCCAGTAGAAAAACTTCAGGAAAAAATTCCCAGATGAAAAATAGGTGCTTGACACGCATGTTGCTGTCTTTTAATGTTATCTGAGATATTTATAATGTTGGTACTTCGAAGTCACAGAAGCTAAAGTAGACTCAAATAAAAAATAAACCTTAATTTAAAATAACTTTGACTTTTCAAAAGTAGGTTTCAGTTTTAAAAAGTTTGAGACTTCCTTATGTCTTTATTAATAATGCCAAAGCCATTAGTCTTTTGTATTGCAAAGCTGGTGATAATTGAAAATGCTGCCTTCAAAGGAACATTTGCATGTGGTCTGAGTATCTGAAGCCTGCTTATCTTTTCTCCTTCTTTCTAAACAGGTGCTAATGATTTTACTCACATTTTGATTTTTTTTGTCTCTTTTTTTTTTTTTTAATTTCTCTAATCTGAATTTGTGACAATAACTCTTAATCTTTTAACAGGGTGAAGCACTGTTTTTCTTTTTTAACACCGAAATGGAGCAGGCGGAACAAACATCTAAAAGACTTCTTTTAGAGCCTTACAAGTACTTACTTCAACTACCAGGCAAGTCTTTTTTGTTGCTGTTCTGTTCTATTTAACAAACTTGTTATCATAGACTTAAATGCATATCAATTCACATAATTTTACATGTCTATCCAGTCTCGAGTTGTATTGAGTTCTGAGTAGATTATTTTCTTTAATTGAAAGCCACGGGATTTTCTCTGTCATAACCTTACTGTGCATAGCATTCCTTGGGCTGGTACCTTGTCTTTCTGATCTGTCCACTTAATGCAAATGTCCTTCCTCTCCCTCAATACTGCATTCAAAAGAGACTATTGCTATCTACTACATATCTGGTGAAAGGAAGTGCAAGCACTGAAGACCTGGTCTAGCTCTTGAACAGAAATAGTCTGTTCAGAGCTTGACCTGTATCTTCTGCTGGAACTTTTGATCTCTCTCTATTGCTCTCTTCAACTAGAGTTGCTTAGTCATGCACAAGAATATTTTTTGTGGTCAAATTCAGCTGTACCTGGCTCACCGAGTATTTCCAGAGGGTCAGCCAAGGCTTGTGTGTTGGCTTCAGGCCAGGTGATAGCATATTCTTAGGAAGTATTCCTCTGAAATATGGTAGTAGTTCATGTAGAATAAAGCCAATCTCTGGGGGGAAAACGGCACAAATTAATACCATTGTACATAGCTTTGTTTATACAGGTAAGGAGTTCTGGTGGGTTTGGCACTGTGCAGAACAGTGTAAAACAAGAAAATGCGGACAAACAAAATGGTGACTAATCACTAGGGATTGGGTTTTCCATTTTTACATGGGAGATGGAAAAAAATGCAGATTTTCCACTTTTTTGAAAAGTGCTTGCTGCAGGCTAGCAAAGTTGTGACCTGTAAGGGGCTGGAGGGAACAGGAGTAGGGCAGGCAGGCAGGGGGTGCCATGTGCATACTCGCACGCGCCTGGTCACCAGGCAGCCTGGAAAGCAGCTCGGGAAGGTAAAGTCTGTGGAGGTAGGGCAGGAATTGAGGCCCCCGTAGGGAGGGAGTTGGGCAGGACCGGGGCTGGAGCTACTGCCCAGCTGGACAGTGTGTGGGGCTTGAGGCCTGGGGCCCGAATGCACAGCTACAGGGCCCGGGCAGGGAGCAGGACAGAACCCTGGGTGGCTCGTCTGACTGTAGGGCTGACTGGCTCCCCACCGTTACATGCACACCCGGGAAGGACATGCGGGGGACAGGCCCCCAGATCTGTGTATGTGAAGGGGTGGGTGTGAGCTGCCCACCCTGCTGCCCTGTGCCTGGGGGCCTCCAGCCCAGCAGGTGGGACGCAGTGCAGCAGGGTAGAGCAGGGCTGGGTGGGGAAGCTCCTTACTGCTGAAGGCCCCACACCACCCTGGCAGAGCCCCCCCTGCCTACCCAGCAGCAGTGGGGGCAGTGGCATGGAACTGTGACCCTCTCTGCTGCTGGGTGGCCAGGGGGGGCCTTGCCACAGCGGTGCGGAGCTTGCAGCAGCAAGCTTCCCTGCCTGGCTTGCTCTGTCCTGCCACGCGGGGTTTCCACTGGATCATGGAGGCCTGGGGTTGGGGGGGCAGCAGGGCAGGCCCTGAGCCTGCAGAGGGTGATCCACACTCGCCCCCCCCCACGGGCTCTGTTCCAGCTGCGCTGCTCACAGAGGAGGAGGAACCTGGGCTCCACACTGCTCTGCCATAGCAGCCGCTGATTCCTGCAGGTGGCAGCAGGGGCTCAGGCATTGCTGCAGGGACCTGGGTCCCTGGCCCTGTAGCCCTAGCAGCTGGGGGATAGGGGGGCTGTGGCTGGGGGGTGAGGGGTGCTGGCAGGGCAGGGGGGAGGCTATGGCTGGGGAGTAAAGGGCCTGGACCTGTGTCCTGGTGAGCGAAAGAGGCACAGTTGGCTCTGACTGGGTTTTTATCATGAAAAAAAAAAAAAAAAAAAAAACAAAAAACAACTTCCAGGCATTTATTTCCTGGAGCAAGTTAAATTAGATGAGTCACATAGCCTTTGCTCTCCGTCTCAGCAATTTTGATCTTTTTAAGCCTCATCAAAAGTTGAGCAAAGTTACAAGCAATTCGGCGGCATTTTTAGGTTATTGGCACCCCCCCATTCCCTGCTCGTCCCAGATAACAGGGCTTTTACTATCTAGATAGTGGCATTTCATTTTAATTACAGATTTGGGGTTTTTTAATTGGAAAATTTGCAATCTTTTTTTTCTGGAGAATTTTTGATTTTTTTTTTTTTTTTAAACCGAGAAAACCAGATCCCTTCTAATCACATATGGCGAAGTAGTGGCAAAACTGATGTTTGGGGTTTTATAGCTAGAATTTGCATTCAGTTTGTTTGGCTGTTGGTGAAAACCACCAAGCTGGAGGACAGTGCTACTTACTGAAAATAAGGGCTGGACAGAATAACAGTGTCTACAGATAGGCCCACTTGGAAGAACTTTTGTGCTTCATAGGCAGACAAGGTTCCTTGGGTGAATCTGATATCTTTTATTAGACCAACCCAAATAGTTGGAAAATAATTATTAAGCAAGCTTTCGGGTTCAAAAACCCTTCGTCAGGCTAAGGAAGTTTCAGCAGTTGGTGCGTGCTCTTCCTGGATGGAATGAAAAGTAAAGAAGCCAGCGGTTGGGCTGGTATGCGTACGAGACAGGTAGTCAGTGAAAGGTGTAGATTGAGGAGTCAGTGGGTGAGACACAAGTGGGGGGCGGGGGGGCGGGGAGGGGGATGAAAGTGGAGAGAGAACCTGGAGAGAAGGGGGATGAAAGGGGAGAGATACCTGGGGAGTCAGATGTCAGGAAGGTTATAATGTCATAAATCCAATGTCTATATTCAGTCCATGATTTTTAGTATCCAGGAGGTTGATGAAGTGGAGTTCATAGGCTCATCTCTGGGAAGTGTTTTGTAAGTTTCCTTTGAGGATCAGGACTGAGAGATTGGAGAGAGAGTG